TATATAATGGCTAGACTTTGGAAACAGCATATATGTCGATCAACAAACACGTAAGGAAAATGTGGTTATACACAATAGAGCACTACAGTGCCATTAAGAAATATCAATTTTTGTAGGTAAATGGCTGCAAGCTAAATGAAATAAGCCAAACACACAAGCCCAAATATCACACTGATCTTATATGAGAAATCACACACACACACACACACACACACACACACAGAGAAAAATGGTAGAGAGATAGAAATGTTCAAATGCTTTCTCATTACATATTCAGGTGTTTGAAAAACACTTCTATATATGTTAATTGTTTTATTTATACAGTTTTTCTCAGTTCATTCAAAAAAGAAAGTTAGTGGGATTTTGGGAAGGAATTCATTTTGTGAGACAGGGTCTCACCATGTAGTTTAGGCAAGGCTTAAACTCACTGTGTAGTGCAGGCTGGTCTTGAACTCATGGCAATCCTCCTGCCTCAGCCTTCTGAGTGCTAATATTAAAGGCATGCACCTCCATGCCTTGCCAAGTGTGTGTTATTATCTATTTCTTTCTTTCATTTTTTTTTTTTTTTTTTTTGTGGAACCGGGGATTGAACTCAGGCCCTTGTGATTGCCAGGCAAGCGCTTATTCTACTGAGCCATCTCCCTGGCCCCTCTATTTCTTTTTTATAAAAATCCTTTTGGCTTGTGTCTTATACTGAGTATCTACTTTGAAGATAATGATACAGAACATAATAACTTGTGATTCTCTATTTGATTATGAATATTTGTTTAACTTTTTCATAAAATACACAGAAAAAATAGAGTAATACAATATGGGAAAAAATTGCCTCTTTATTTAGTCTATTTAAACACACCATTTCTATAATGCACTAAAAAAAAAGATCTTAAAAATATGAACTTTAAAATGTGTTATGAGGCCGGGCATACCTGTAATCCTAGTACTCAAGAGGCAGAAACAAGGATTGCCATGAGTTCAAGGCCAGCATGAACTACATAGCAAGACCCTGACTCAAAAAAAAAAAAAAAAATAGTTATGTACCAACTACCCATGATGAATGTAAATCATGTACTGCAAACGTGTACTAATGGAAATAGTGAACTGCTAAATTATATATATTAG